GTGTAGCAAAAACAACAAAAACGAGAGTTCCACCTCTTTCGGTTTCCACAATGTGTCCAGCAGACTCAATGAGCTCTCTGAGTGGAAATTCTGATATATCTAGTCCCATGCAAATGAGTTCGTCCTGCAAGAATTCACCAGATGTTCTCATGCATGAAGGTTGCGAGTCCTCCGGTGGCAAGGATAGTTTAAAAAGGAAAGAGAGTTCGGGAAATTACCGCCCCCTCTCTATGGTTCTCGAGAAATCAGAGACTCCTGATCAACCGCATCAACAAGAACCTATAGAAGAGGTTTCTTTCCAGAAAGTGGTTGAGAATGAACAGCAGCAGCTGCAGTCTTTGTCCAGTTCAGTAAAAGCAGTTCCACCATTGCCACCTGCTCGCAGATATTCGCGCCAGAGTTCCACGTCTAGTGTTGAAGCAGTTGACTGGGTGTCGGAAGACGTTGGAACATCAGAAGAAGGTCACAAAAAGAAAAGGAAGTCTAGCAATCTGGAAGATGCTCTCACCGAATTAGAAGCCATTTACAAGAGCCTTAATTTGGGGGATAAGGATCTTCTTGACCGTGCTGAAAGAAGAGACCTGCCGGTTGCACATCAGAAACTGAGCGATGGCACGTCACTGGTCGCCCAAACGCTGTCATCATCTTGGGGGACATCTCGTGGAGCAGAGTCGGACTCTGGTTACAATTTAAGTTGGGGATCATCGTCTTTTGAATCTGTTTGCGGTAACGGAGATTCTTCGAGGAAACGTGCACCGTCTATACGGCGATCCGGCATCCCAGATAAAGTAACTGATGACATGGCATATCGTCGTCTTAATTCTAAAGACCGGCCTGGTTCTCAAGACATTCGAAATGTTGTGTCTCAATCAGGTAGTTATCTTTTTACGTCTCCAACCACAGCAGCTGCTGAAATATATACAGAGGATCTCCCTCAGAAATCTCTGTATTCTTCACCAAATCAGGAACCTGATGTCGCATTAGATGACGTTGTTTTCAGAAATATTCGACATGCTAACAACACACTTAAAGTTCTCGATCCACAACCACCATTCGGAATACCAATTGGACCTATTGCACCTGCATCGAATAGCGACTATCTTCATGTGATACCCACAGACACTTACCGTTCAATGTTCAAACCCAGGAGGGTGCCAGATGTTGTGAAGGATGATTTGGCATTTCGTAATCTGAGAAAGGACTCTCAGAAGGAACCTTTTAATATGCCTATGATGACTGATGACAGTGGCATTCTGAATAGTACCTTAGTCCGTAGTACTCATTCCAAGAACGACAATTTCTCTATGAGGAAGAGAAGAGCCGTGAGGTCTCTTTCTGCTAACATACAGAGTCTTGTCAACAGAGAATCCTTGGCGCTGTCTTCCAGAGATATTGATCAGGATTTTGAGAAAGCTCAGAGTTTGTCTGATCTCCCTGACGCTTTGCAAGTAGCACAGAGAATTCTGGAAGGGAAGGAAGTGATCGGTGGTGGTTCTGTTAAACTTCGCAACCTAACAGCAGGATTATCAAACGAACGTCCGGTTGATCAAGAGGGCGATACATTACCAGTGACTCAAGGTTCTCGACGATATTGCCCTTCGCCCGGAAGTAGCTGGATTGAACGCGCTAACCTCGCAGACTGTGGCGATAAATTATCTTTTTTTGCGAGCACAAGTACAGAAACACTTACTGACAGTCGGGCCAATCTCTTACAACAGGATCCGGGAACAAACAAACGGAATAGTTGGCAGCAAAGACTGAGGGTTTTTATTCCATCAAATATGATCTTTGGTAGCAACGAAGACACAAGTGTATCGGGCGATGTAACTTCCTTACAGAGACCACCACCGCCGCGAACTCCCGAAAGAAACTCGAGTCGTTTATTATCAGAGCAAAATAAAGCAGATATTCATCAGAGACCTCCTCCTCCCCCTACGCCTGAAAGAAGTTCGTCACGGCGCTCGTCATTAGATCAGAATAAACTTCTGTCCGCTCTTGTTCAATTGCCATCATCTCTAACCCCTGACAGAGAAAGTCCTCGGCAGCCACAAGATAACAGCAGGCCCCATGCGTCTAGATCAATACCTCAAACAGCTGAAGATGAAACAGTGAGTTCGGCTTCGGTTCAAGATAAACGTTCAGCTCGGGACTCACTTAGCCTGAGGCCTGGAACATCATCATCTCCAAATGACTCGTCATTGCCCATACCAGAAGCTGTTCCAGGATCTCCTATAGATGAGCGACAACTTGAAGAGCTTCTCACTGCTTTGGCTCGAGAAGCCAAGGCTACTAGTGAAAAACTGGGACGTGAGCTGGAGGTACTTCAGAGAAATACTGCCCCAGCTCTGCAAGAGTCTGACACCTTGGAACAAATAATACAAGAGAAACCTAAGCATCAGTTCGCTGAGGATCAGAAGCCTCGACTTGGAAAGAAAGTATCAGAACCACTTGAAGAAAACTTTCAACTCCAAGAACAAAAGTCACAGGACGAAAGTAAATACCACAATCAAGACTCTGGCGACCAGATGTTACAGCTGAAATATGAAGTACAAGACGACAAGCAACACAGTCAGGAGTCACGAGAACGTAGAGAAGGACAGCTAGAGGAATTGAAACCTGCCGGAACAGAGAAGGGCGATACAATCTCGGAGGCAAGGGATAAAGGAAGTGAAGAACCAACTTCATTATGCAATGTCCAGACAGAGAATTTAACTTCACGCATTGAAAGTGTGACATCCAAAGTAGTAACAGAGGAGGAACATGTTCCAAAAGAGACTCTACATATAGATGAAAACAAATCGAAACAGAAATCGTCTAACTTGATTGAAAATTCTAAAGCAACAGCTAAAGAAGAAGAAGAATCACACAGTTCACGTTACATTCTTGATTCTAACCTAGATATTGATAAAGAACTGCGTATTTTTTATGCAGATTTGTCGAAGGAATGTACGGGCCGCTGTGATGATTCATGCAGAGCTGTGGATGTAGAATCAGGTAGCCACGACCATCAGAAAAAGACTGACGATGTTCATGTAATATTGACGGAGCCACAAGAACAAAGTGATAAAGTTAATGAAAATCGAGAAACCGAAATCAGTGTTCATTTGCCAGGAACGTTTCCGACATCTGTCGAAGAACCTGTTATCGAAACCACTGGATATAAGGAACAGACGTTGCCATGTGCAGAATTCGACTGTATCAGTCAGTCTTTGTCTCAGGGGTCAACAAATGTTGCAGCTAACAGTAATGTTGAAGGTTCAGGTGAAAGTGTTGCAGAAGACTTTGATAATTCTGCTGGTTATCAAGTGTCGAAGAGTTGCGTTGAAGGCGAGGAGCTGGGAGCATCGACACCGCCTTCTGCAACAGCCGGTTGGTATTGTCTTCCCCCGCTGGCGGATCCTGCCACTGTGTTGGTTGCATGCTCCTACTGTATTGCATGTGTACACCAGGTCGCCGGATTGGACTTGCTCTCAGTACTCGGTATTATTCTTGCCGTCGTGTCCCTAGTAGCAGCCCTTATCCTGTAACACTGCACATACCCCACCCCTATGTTGTAGAAGTCGGTCTGCACGGTTCCAGGAGACTGTCATACACTCGTTGACCCATGCTGAAACGTATCCTTAGGTTATTACGCTGTAGTTTCACTACTGTATATAAATTCTTCATCCTCTTTTTTAATTCCTTTGACAGAACATTTCAACCAAGTCTTGAACCATTTCTGAACTCATTTTGAATGGGAAACATGTTTAAGAATCCTCACTTATCATCTACACTGTCGACGCCTCTGTCTCGCATTGTCATCTTCAAAAAATAAATTAAATGTGTTACGTGTTTTGATCGTTTTAATATTTCATTTATTGCCTTTAATCTTCGATTGTTAGAATGTAATATATTGAATCTCCATTTGCCTGTGATTAATACATTGAGGTAAAATACTTTGCATGCTTTCTGGTCGCAGTACCTAGAAAGTGTCTGACTGCTTATTATGGTCGTAGAAAATCATTTTCTAGATTAAGATATGCAATATTTGTTTAGTAATTATGTGTGAATTGGTAACAATATTATATTTTATAGACAGTTGATAGTGAAGTTATCCGTACAAATAACGATTGCTAATCCCTCCCAAAGAACTGCAGAAATTTAAATTGTGAAATATACTGCATGTTATTACTTATGAATATTTGTAAATTCGATTTTTTTTTGCAAAACAAGAAACCTCTACTCCCTGTAAATACAAAATTATATTATCTATATTACATAGATGGGAACTAAAGATGTGTCATTGTATAGATTACTTCTCTCTCTGAGCAGAACATGTTATTTGTGGCTAGAATACGTAGACGTATATTGATAATTTTTGCATTGATACCAAAGCAAGTTAGGTTAATTTGCTCAACTGGGCTGAATTAATTGTGAATATGCCCAAGAATTTATCTGGTCACATACAATAGATTTTTAGCTTCCCTGTCCTTCCGTTTCTGAACTTGACTCAAGTTTCTTTGCCTGTGATGGAGACAACATACAAAGTTTTTCAGTATGTTGAGTCGTGGAACCAGTGGCTTAGTACTTAGTACTACTTGGAACAGACTTAACCGGCAAAGTAGGCCTACTTTTACCTCGGAGGAAAACCTTAATTAAAGTTTTATTTATATTATGCACCATGTATAACATTGCATACTTTTTGTAGTTCTTGATGCAGTCACAAGAAGATGTTAACATTTGTGGCCATGTTTCTCTATGATCTAGTTTTACACTGTACGTAACGAGAATAGGAGGGTAATCCATAAACTGTATAATATAACTCTAGTCCTTCTCCCACCCGTTTATATAAATTTTTAACATTTTTGAGCCACATGCATATACACAATGTCCACAATTCTCTAAAGGTTTCTAACAAAGTTTGATTAATTATATCAATATTATGTTGGATATTTCTTATTGTCAGATATGTATGCACTTTGAGGAGTTGGCTTTCCAGTTTTTGTAGTCTGAAGAGTGACATTTATGTTACTTTTTTTAAAAATAATAATGCCTACGACGAGTGGCATTCTGAATGCTAGGCTAGTATGCTAACAACTGCCAGTATGTTTACGACTAGTGCCGTGTTTAAGAATACGTTAGGCTGTACCTTCACTACACCATATGCCTCTGCATGTTGCGGTACTTAGGACAGCTTTGCCTTAACCCTTTTATGTTCTGAAGACGGGATCATAGCGGACACCCGAAACGACACATATATGACATGTCTCCGGTAATGGAAAGCATCCAACATTGTATTGTTGATATTGTTATATCGAAATCATTTGTTTCGTGTTTAAACGTTAATACATCGAAGCCTGGGTATGTCGCACTTATAGACGGTAATTCACAACGCATGTAGCATGGTTTTATTTCTTAGGCTGTGTAATCGGTATGTATAATGGTTTAACAGTTTACTAAGAAATGAGTTCAAGAAATCCTTGTATGCCTTCACATCCTTGCCTGTATGAACCAATAAAGAACTGTACAGCACATGCATACTGTTGTAGTGTTTATTTGTGTGTTAATCAATACCGGTAGCTGAAATGCATCACGTAAGTACTACTTGAAGAGCAGCTGGTTGTTGGAAGGTGACTGAATTGCTCTGATGACCCTAATTGTTGCTGAATTGTTTTAATTTGTCGGTTTCATAACGATTTGTGTAATCTTCCCGTTAGCTCACACATTGCGTCGTAGTCTGTTGAACAAATTTGTTGTTTGCTTATACCTCATACGCACTGGAATAATGAAGAATAATCTTTGCACTTTTCGTTTGTCCAGTACCGTTACTATTACGAAAAGTATAGCACTGCATTGCTCTAGTATTTTTGCGTACCAGTGAATCTTGTGTTTACATTGACACCAGAGCTACTCAATTCAGCTTGTTTTTGACTGTGGTTTGTTTATTTATATTTGTTTTGTTCCAGAAATGTTTTGTCATATTTTTCTTTGTTATGTTTAACAAGGTTGGTCAGTCGGTCGTTTGACCGCATAGTGTTGATCTGTACGTAAACAGTCTAGGGGGATTGTTTAGCCCTTTGAAGACGAAATTTGTCCAAATAACATAAATACTCAGAAAAGAAACAACGCGCCACCATTTCAAAGGTCAAGTGGTTTATGCTGCTTGAGGAAAAGTTCCTTAGGCACAAAGCGGAGTTATACACTGAATGGCAGAGCAGATCGTACCATTTGAGAATGAAGGGTTAACCGAGTCTCTAGGAAACAAATTCTTCTTATTATTTTTTTTCACCAAGTAGAAACATATTGTTTAAAATAACTATTGTGTTGCGATGCGCTATGTCGTCTGTGTTGTAAGTTTGCCTTTGGCAAAGTAAATGATTTCTAAGAACCTGACCAACCTGGATTTGGACATATCTCTTCGAAGAAATTTATAAAATCGCTCGTTCGGTAGCAGCCGGTGGAATTAAGGAAACGAATTGCGTAAACTTCTATCTTACAAATAATATATACATGAAGATTGCTGTCTTCTGGGTCATTGCGCCGTGTAGTGTGCGTAGGTGTTTTGGATTTAACAGTATGGATCCAGTGCGTTGGATTATAGTGCAGCTATGTGGTAAACGATGTTCACGTTGATACGCTCGCCTCGATCGTAAGCCACAATGCTCTGGCTAAAAGTGCGTGTTTTGTGAAAGGTTATACTGTGTTTCAGTGTACCACAGAACCACGAAATTAAGACAGACGGATTTTTCTTTCGTATTTCAAAGTCTTAGCCGGGCCACATACTGTTTCAGAAATACGTTTTTTGACTCATAGATAAATATTCAGTTAATTAGAAGTTTGCTGGCCGCTGATATGAGAATGTGCACTTTTGCGTCAGACCTTTGTTATTAGCATGTACTTCGTTTTGTTAATGATTAAGTATTGTGTACAGTTAAGTTTAAAGCGTGGAATTAATACACCCCAAGTGATATGCTATTCAGTTTCGCTTCGTATGAATTAGTGAATGACAGCCAAAAGTGGTAAAGTGTTCAGTTCACTTCACTGCATGATGTATGGTTGGTTATTTTTGGAGTTGTTTGCCCTGTTGAGTATATACGTCATCCTCTGCATATACCCACTGTGTACTCGCAGCTCCAGGAATCGGAAGGTGCCCCAACTTGCATCCACAAAGTTAAACAGTCTCAGACGTATAAATATTTTTCAGTATGATCTAATACGTTTTACTTTATGGTATTTCTGTGCAAGGGACGGAAAAGTAATGAACATCATTACAGATGTTTATGAGAAATATGTAAATCCAACTGTTCCGTCTTATATTAATTATTTATTGGTTTAAACGTGTGCTGTTACAGCATTTATGAGCAGATTCGTTAAATGTTTTAAGTGTTAGTGCGTGCTGAAAGTCTTGCAGAGCTTACCAGGCTTCACACCCATAACTTTTCGCCTTCACCACCGCTTTATCTATATCCGCTCTGGGACCCACATGGCTTCTTATCCAGTCGGAATCGAGGGTTCTTTACCCTGAAGATATAGACTGGTTCTGTCTCAGACCGAATTTAGTAGTAGGGCACTTCGTGGGATCCGTCTCATATACGTATTATCTATTCCTTAACCGGTGTTACTAGGTAGCGAAATGGATCGGAGACGGACTGTTGGCGCAAAACTCATGCCCCTTCATGTTGTACATGAAGGGGCACAGTACGCATGACGTATCTAAAGGTGGGGCAGGTGCCACGCTATCTCTATAATGGGATATGAAATGGACGCTCTGTTATTAATTGACGACAGACAACCGCAAGGACGAAGGGACAAAACCTGTTTTCTCCCTCCCACCCTCATAGTTCTAAGATAAATGGCCTAAGTACAAGGTAATTGTTACTATGCCGACTGACCTTGGAATGGCTAATGACGTCATTGTCTGGGGTCCCTAGCCGTTGCACAGTCAGAATGTCTGGCGTCTGTCTAGTGAATGGTGATATCCCGGGGATTCCCCACATGGTTGTGTGTGCCCCCCACTCCACGCGAGCAGCA